GAGCCAAGCTCCATGTTTATGTGGCCTCCGTGTCACTCCTACCCAGTGCAATCCAAGACCACATCGTTGGTCATGACGGTGGAGTTGAAGTGCTTGTTGGGAGTTAAGAGGGAACCAGTCAGAGGGGAGAACTGTGCAAGTTTGGGAGGCTGTATCTTGTAAGCGACAACTGCGTCGCACGACCATTCGCTGGCACCTAGTCGCCATCTGTAGCACCTCGAAGCTGGGCTCTCTCTAACAGCCACATCCCAGTAACCGCCGGGAACGGCGGACTAAAGGAAATGAGGGTATCTGGTTTTGTGATTGTTCGCACACCCAATAGTGCTGTTCCCCTTCGAATTCATGCGCTCCCTCTACCCTGAAAATCGTCATTTGGAGAGTGAGACATGACATTACTTGAGCGGCCAAGTCCAAATCAGGTGGATCTCTGTTAAACAAAGCCTTGACCCTAAGCGGATTTCGGCAGTTGTCCGGAATGTCCAAGCAGCCCTGTCTAGAAATAGCACAAACGACTCTCGCAGGATAAGTTTCTAAAAAGTGTGCCCTAAATAAATCACACAATCATGCCATCTACGACCATACCTTCACTCAGAAATGCAAACCTTGCTGCCGGAGTCTCTCCTGTGGTCAAAACCTGTCACAATGAAATTTGGGCCTTTTTGACGAAACGATCATTGAAGGTCATCTCCGCAAATGTGTAAGGCCTGTTCAACAAACTCGACGAACTTAGAGTCCTAGTCGATGAAATTAAACCAGACATTATGGCTTTCGCCGAAAGGTGGCTTTCCGAATGTATCGCAGATGCAGAAATATCACTTAGATGAGATCAGCGATTCAGGTGGGCTAGACCAAGCCGAGGAGGAGGAATCAGAATTCAGGTCACTTGCAAGCTGATCGCTCTGGCTGAGGTACGTAGTCCAGTACGGGATGTGGAACTTGAAGAAGAAGAAGAAGAAGAAGAAGAAGAATAAGAAGAAGAAGAAGAAGAAGAAGAAGGAGAAGAAGAAGAAGAAGAAGAAGAAGAAGAAGAAGAGGAAGAAGAAGAAGAAGAAGA